AAGTTTAACCCTTTAGGTCTCTGCTCATTATTATTTTTACTCCTAAAATATCACTACTATTTTGATCAATAAAAAAATATATCACAACTATGATAATATGTATAATTAACTATGTTTTAGTTGAATTTATGAACTGTTACAATTGACTCCGTAAGTGGGGATAATTGTAACAAGTGCACGACTGTCAAAAATTGTTAATAACTAAAATAATAACATTTAAAATAAGGTATATATTTTTTTTTCTAGTAGAGGATAGTCTACTTTACTCGTCTTTCAATTAATACTAATAATATAGTGGAATTTTTGTTAGTTAAAAATAGTTAATTAAAAAATGTTACAATTGACCCCACTCTCCCCTACCATCAAGTTTCCTAACTTAAGATTTTAATCTATTTGAAAATCGAGAGACAAACTGAAGTACTCCCTACTCCTATGACTCTCCACACGCTAATGATGAAATCAGGCGAAGTGTTGCCATGAGTAGAAAGTTCTGCTCTACGCCACGTGTAGCCCATTTCGATCACCAATATTCTACCAAACTCGCCAAAAAATATATTATTGTACGGAATTTTCCTACTTAATATCGAAACTAAAATATGACGTTAACGTAAAACTGTTAATATAGTTTCTGGAAAAATTTCAAAAATCAAATTTGTGCACAAAACCTGAGCAACAAATAGTTTTTTATATAAATGTTCGGCACAGCTCATATAAAAAAATACTTTTAAGGTAATTAGTGTATTTTCTGTATGTTACAGATGTTCCATTCCAGTGTCCAAGCTTCGGGGGATATTTTCCTGATCCAAATGACTGTTCCAAATACTACCAATGCACTTTCTTTTCTCCAAGATTGAGAACATGTAGAAATAATTTTCTTTTTGACGGAGTCAAAAAACAGTGTAAACCAGGCGGGGAAGTGAATTGTGGATCAAGAAAAAGACCGACAAGTAACGAAAAAAATTTTTTTTCTGTGAGCATGCAAATGTTTACAATATTTGCGTTATTTCTAGCTCGCTAAACTTTGAGGAGTCCTAGGTAAGTCATTTTATGGGATGTTTTAAATATTCATCCTGCTAAGGTGCCACTACGAAATAACTAAGAACAAATTCAAGCGATCAAGCGAATACGTTTTTAATATTCAATGAAGTATGCATATATTTTTTTCGAATATTATCTCTAAAGAATAACTTTACATTTCTTACTTTTTTCCATCGCTTATTCTTTTTCAGAAAAACACATTTTTTAAATTGGATATTGTTGGGCACAGTTTGTCTTCCATTCATTATTGCCGTATGTGATGACGAAAGTGGTGAGTTCTTATCCAATTCAATACATATTTTTCCATTGCACTAATCAAATTCCTATTTCTCGTTTTATAGAATATGATAGCTAAATACCCGTTTTTCTTATAAGGTGGAAAAAGAGCAAACTATCAAAACTGGTATTAATAAAGATTACAAAATCATGCACAAGACTAAGCATAAGCTGACATGATAAGTAAAACTGAATAATTCCAATTTTTTCAAAATTTACTATTACTTGTTTTCCTTCCAATATTTAGAATCATTTTTCATTACGCTGTTGTTTGAAACTAACTCATTATATACAAGCAAAATATTTTTAATCTTGCTTTGTTTCAACGAATTCTGAAAAGTGTTAGCGTTTTCTCCTTGCTTAAATATTTATTCATGGTATCTCAACTGCGCATGTTTTTCACTTCCTTTTTAAAAAGTTTTCTAAAATATAGTTATGAGCGGTGATTACAGTACCATTTTTATATTAGTTTATGTTTCATCATAGATTAAATTTTAAAAATTCCATTAAGTTTTAGATATGTAAATCCACAGTACAAAATTTTTCTCTAATTTGTTCGTTTAGAATAATTCCATTTCCTTTTTTCAATAAGTAAAACAAAGTTTAATTAAAAATATCTATGTTCACACAAATTTTGCAAAATGTGCTTTGGTAAAAAAAAGATATATTATGCATAATTTTTTTTATCATTATTCTTTCCCTAGAATTGCATCAAAGTCATCTTTGTACCTCGTTCGTAACACAAATTTTTTTTTTCCAGATGACAAAATGACGACGAATGGTATAATTGGAACCACAACTCCTAAAGGTAAATTTTTTATTTAATTTTTTCATATAACTTTATTTTGAAATAAAAAATAAATTTTATAAGATTCGCATAATTTATTTTTAAAAAAATTATGCATTAACATTTCGTTAAAATTTTAATACATGATGAAAAAAGAAAACTCCATTTGGTCTAAAATTGAGCGCGAAGTTTTGAATTAAAGGCCATCTAGACTAGAGACACGTAGACGTGATGGGTCTCTCTCAGGCAAGGCACGAAGTACAGCACCCACAAGAAAATGTACTGTGTTAAGAGCCTCTAGATCACTTATTTCAGAGGTTAATGGACTTCACGATCGAGAATTGAAGCAAGCCTCAATTTGACACAAGAGCGTAGCCAGTTCTTCAAAATTCAGTATAGCTGAGCCGCATACTTTCAGCAGGTGTGTCTTGGTTGATTTAATGATGGACTCCCAGAGTCCGCCAAAATGAGATGTCGCAAGTGGAATAAAGTGTCATGAGATTTGAAGGTTGCTGGAAAAATCTTAGACTGAATTGTCTCGTACAATTTTGTACAGAGACTTCGAAAAGTTACTGGCTCCCTTAAAATTTGTGGCACTACCACTGTATACAACAGAGGGCAACCTTCGTCTCGCAATAAATCGACGAAAAGATGCTACGAAGGCTTTTGTTGACAAATCAGAGGCAAGTTCCAAGTGGACAGAATTCGTAGCTAAAGAGATGAAAAGTGCAATGTACGACTTTAGGATGTCTTTAGATCTGGGTAAATTTGGTTTGGTTGAAATTGGGCTTGCAGAGTCCAGCCCAACACGTTGGAAAGGTTTTAATGGAATAACTCGTTCATGAAGCAAATTGGCCATGAGCTGGCTTGTGCAAACAGCATTTACATTTGAACAAGTTATACAGCATCTAAGAATTTTTTTTCCATGCTTCTTCCAGCTGGAAACTAAAATTTTTGTCGAATTAAAGATAAAACAATGGAGGTGCCAGAATGTAACAGAAGCTTATAAATAGTATTTTATAATGAGATTGACTAAATAATGACTTCGGGGTAAAAGAATGGGATGTTTGGCCGACAGAGTCAGATTTGAATTTTTGAATCTCCCTCCAATTCTTAAGACCTTGTCAGAGTCTAGAAAGGGTTATGGTTATGAAAGGGTTAGGAATTTTAAAGTTTCTTGAAACACAGCCTTTAGTTTTAATTGACCTCATTTCAGCATTGAAATTTACCCTTTAAATTTCTTTAATAATGACAATAGGAGAATTATCCAGTTCTCAAACTAGAAGACTACCCTTAATCTTACTTTCTGAATTTCTCGAGCTGAAAATGAATCTTTTACACCAAGCAATCACTCTTATTAATTTGCTGAATGATGAATATTTTTGAATTAAATCTTGAATGGAATTACTTTCAACTGATGAGGCGTGTATTATAGAGTCAGGGATGGAAGTGTGAACATAGTTTGGCTTCAATAAATGCTGAATTTGCATTAGTCAGCCGATCTGGACCCTGTCACTAAAGTTTCAAGTCCATCAGCTTCTTCGGAAAATATTCCTCGAGAGGCACTGTCGGCAGTATTGGAATGACCAGAGACGTGATGCCAAGTTATTGATTCAGTCAAAGATGTGATCGTGGCTACTTTTTTCTGACAAATTGATCTTTTAATGAATCTGATCGTATCCAGCTAAAAATTATTTCTGAATCCATGCAACGTAGAACTTGATCCAAGAATTTATTCATCGATCTTGAAATTGTATCAAACAATTTAGATAGCAGATGCACTGCCTATAATTTAATACGTGGGAGTGAAATTGCTCTCAATGGAACTACCCTTGTTTTAGCTGTCACGATGCTGACAGCAGGGGCAAACGCGGGGGGGGTAGGGGTTTAAACACCCCCCCTTGAGCTCAGACAAAGTGAATTTTCAAAATAATACAGACAAAAATAAAAATTTTAGCAGAAATTATGCGGGCTATAATTTTTTAAGACTATAGATTTTTATTTGCCTTATGCCTACTTTTTTTTCTCACGGTATTTCTCAGTATACTGAAAAAACATTTACAATAATAGGGTTATACTTTTGAAACCAAATTCACGTGATACTGTTACGGGCGATCCCCGATCGCTGTTTCCTTTCTGTCCTGCCAGTCGCGATAGTTTTCGAGACTGGCTAGCATTCCCGAGGTCTGGAATCGTAGACGTTCTGTCGTCTTTGAGACAATTTGAGAATTTAGTAGTTGCGGTAAAAAAAAGTTATATGAAAGGGGGAACGGAGTACAGTGAAGTAAGTTATTCAAACTGAGAATTATCTCTGCCACTTGTCTTTCGGAGCTCATCGCTAAATCTGTTTTGTTTTGGAGATACTGTTCTCGTTGAAGTATTTCATTACAGCTCGAAGCTTTGAGATCGTAGCTTAGCGGATATTTCTGTGCCAATATATATGTATATATTTTTACTGTTCTTGGATCTTTAGGATGTCAAAACGCAAGAATTTCAAAAAATTTAATTACTTTGAGAAAAAGTCACGATTAGAAATTAGTGAGGGGACAGCATCTAGTACCAATGTAAGTTTTTCTGTTGAAGAGAAATGTACTTCCGTTGACGAAAACTTTTCTAGCGTAATAAAATCTGATGAATGTGAAAGTGGCCCTCAAAGTGTTACTTCCCACCCATATGACATTGGACTTTTTTCGGAAGATAATACATGCGAGGATAAAAAACTGGATGTACTAAAAAAATTTTGGGAACCAAATCCAGCTTTTTTTTTCCTGAAAAAGGAAAAAGAAAATTGAAATTTCAGTACAAATGGTTTTATCACTGGGAATGGCTTGCATATTCAGAGGTTAAGGGTGGTGCTTTTTGCAAATTTTGTGTACTTTTCGCCCCAAGTGGTGCCGATTCTGGAAAGCAACCTTTAGGCCATCTGTGCAATGCAAAATTTGACAACTGGAAAAATGCTGTAGAGTGATTTTCTGAACACGAGAAATGTCTTTATCACAAAAAATCGATCGGAACTGCTGGGACATTAAACGANATTTTGTGTACTTTTCGCCCCAAGTGGTGCCGGTTCTGGAAAGCAACCTTTAGGCCAACTGTGCAATGTAAAATTTGACAACTGGAAAAATGCTGTAGAGCGATTTTCTGAACACGAGAAATGTCTTTATCACAAAAAATCGATCGAAACTGCTGGGACATTAAACGATATTTTACTTGGAAAGATGAAGCTGACAGTGCAGCAAGCAAGAAAATTAGAAAATAGAAAAAACATTACTCCAATCATTGAAACCATCCTATTTTGTGGAAATTAAGGTCTCGCTCTAAGAGGACATAAAGATTAGGAAATAATTACTGAGCAACCAGGTGAAGAGAACGACAAAAATTTTCGGGCATTGCTTCGTTTCCGGAGTAAGAACGATTCGACTCTTAAGAACATTTTAGAGTCAAGCAGAAAAAATGCTCAGTATACCACGCCTCGATTTCAGAACTTATTGAGGTTTGCAATATTTTAATCCTGCAAAAACTAGTCAGCAAGATTAATGATGCAACTTGATTTTCCATTCTTGCAGATGAAACAACTGATATTGCAGGTATAGAGCAATTATCGTTTTGCGTTCGATATGTCGATAAAAAAAAATTTAACATCACCGAACAGCATGACTTAACCAGAAAAGCAATAGCAACAACAATGTTAGACCAATTACAGTCTATGAAAGTTGATATAAAAAAGTTACGTGGACAGGGGTACGGTGGTGCTGCATCAATGAGTGGAAAAATTAATGGTGTACAAGCCCACGTAAGAAGTATTGTCCGATCAGCACTCTATGTACATTGCTCTGCTCATAGCCT